CGGTGAGGGGATGCCACCGGCCCTCCCTGGCCCCCCTTCCCCCCCAGCTCTCACCTAAAGTTTTGGGGTTCCTTCTCCTCTGCTGCCTGCAGCACCTTGAGCAGCGTGGAGCCCTGCAAGACCTGCACTGAGATGGTGTAGCTGAAGTGTTTTCCCTGCAGCTTGTTGATGATGGAGTAGTGCACTGTGATGGAGGCTGCTGGCAGGGGAGAGGGACGGGTTGGGCATCTGGCACAGTGCCACGGGGCACAGGGCGGGAAGGGTCTGGGAGCGTCGTCCTCACGGGGTCTGGGGGCTCTGGACGGGAGCAGCCATACCTCTGTGAACCCTGGTTGTAGACAGCTTTGGGGACTGGGACGATTGTAGGCTTGAGGACGTATCAGTGCTGGTGCAGTCCACCTCAGCCGCTTTCAGGTAGGATCTGTCCAAGAGGGCAGGCAAGACCTGGGCGATGGCCATGGGCAGCTGGTAGTCATGGCTGTACACCACTGCGAAGGCCTGGGTGCAGTCCCACTTCCGCGGGGCATAAAACTTGCCTGTGGCTCCCAGCACCTGCGGAGGAGGTGGGAGCCCCGGGGCCGGGAATGGGCAGCCACGGTGCCACAGCCCTCCCTGTACCTGCAGGGCCAGCCCCATGCTGTAAATGTTCCCAATCATGCCATCCTTCTCCTCCTGCTCATCGAGGAAGTCGTTGGTCACCACCGACAGTGCCTCCCAGAGAAGGTCCTGCACATCATCAAGGTCCGTCTGGCCGTATGTGCATGCCAGTGCCAGTGCCGCCATGGCGCGGGTGTCTGTGAGGTCCTGGTGTCACTGCCAAGCCCACCGGGGCAGAGCTGTTGGGAGCGGGGCTTTGCGAGTGGATGGAAACAGTGGGGCCGGAGGGGTTCCTTACCCACAGAGAGGTGGCTCTCGGAGCTCAGCAGCTGCTTGGCCAGGACCACGGATGCCTCTTGGTAGCCACCCACACTTGCCAGGCACAGGGCCAGGGTGTCCAGGCTCACGCTGTACAGCGTGGTTTTCGGGATGCCCTCCAGCTCTGCAAAGCAAAGCACAGCGAGCTGATGGAGGAGCTGGGGCGCAGGATGGAGACCCCTCCCTACCCCAGGCACCCCAGTCCTTCCCTCCCGTCCCGCCATACCCAGGCTGGCCATCTCCTCGTCTGTTTTCTGCTGTAGGACGTGGAGCAGGTCGACGGACTGTCCCAGGGCCTGGATGTCCTGGGGGTTCTGGCAGGAGGAGAGGAGGGCGAGCACATACAGAGCCACCTCTCCTGAGGTCATGTCTGTGGGGACAAGAGAGCAGCCAGGGCATGCAGGGGGCCGGGGCTTGGCACCTCAGTCCCTGTCTGGAGCAGAGAGACCTGGCAGTGCCAAGTCTGCAGTACTAGGTAGGCTGGGACTGGGTGCAATGGCAGGGGTGCATCCCCCTATCCTTCCCTACCTTTCTGGGCTCTCTTCACAGCCTCCTCCTTTATCTGCTGGAGCAGCAACTTGTGGGTATAACTGTCGGTGGTCCCAGCCAGGTTCATGGCCAGCAGGATGCTGGGATTTGGCAGCTCATCCTCCTTGACAGAGTCCTCCAGCTGTTGCAGCATCTTGGAGACCAGTTGTTGCGAGGCAACTGGAAGGAGAAGGATCAGGCACTCCGCTAACACTCATGGCATGAGGTCACTGAAGACCCCACGTCCCCTCCACATGGTCCCTTGTAGGGTCACCAGTCTCTCTCCGGTGCATCTGCGGGAGGGCTGACACTCACCACAGCTGTGGGCAGCTGTGCCGCCGGCCAGGGCCAGCAGGACTGCGATGATGAAAGCCACGCTGAGCATCCTTTTGTCCTCAGGGCAAGCAGGTCCACTCGGGCTGGCAGAGTCCCATGGGCACTCGTCTCTCTGGGTGTCCTCTCTGCTTTTAGCTGCTCCCAGTGCTGTTCTCCAGTCACCCGCCCTCCCACAGCCGTCCCGGCACTGCCAAGTGCTGCTGGCTTATCTGTGTGCCCAAGGCGTGTCAAACAGAGTTGGAGGGTCACGGTTATGGGAGTTGTAACTTTCCATTTGAGGACACGGAAATTGTGAGGGACCAGTTGAATGCCCATGAGTCCATGGGGCTGAATGGAATTCATCCCAGGTGTCATGGTTTGATGTGGGGGGGAGGTTCTGGTGGCAGAAGCTGCCCATCAGACCGGACTCCCATTCCCCTCGGGGCTTGAGCCAATCGGCGCCTCTGCGAACTGCCCTATTTACGTGGAGACAAAGGAACCAGAAAGGTGTGTCTTTGCCCAGGAGCGAGGAGAGGGGAGGGGGTTGCTGCCCCCGCTTCTGGCCAGGCGGCGGCCAGCGCCAAGCTGGTGCCACCCGCTGAGCATGGCCACGGCGGAGCCGCTTGGGGAGCTTGGGGAGAGCCCTGCTCCTGGGGCGCCCACTGGGCCGAGTTCACCCAGAGAGTACTGAGATCTGAGAGAAACGGCCACACAGACACCAGGTCAGTGAAGATGGAATGGGACAAAAATTCCCCTGCACGTGGTGGCGAGACGGCGGGCGCCCCCCCTGCAGCCATGACGGTCTCGGTGGAGCAGAGACCCACTCACAGCCCATGGAGAACCCATGTTGGAGAAGAGACACCTGGGCCTGAGGACAGTACGCATCTAGAGTCTGTGGGATGACCCCCTGTTGGTGGGGAGGTGTTTTGTTTAAAGGAGATGCCTGAGCCTGAGGACAGTTGTGAAGCATTGGCACAGGTAGAGACGCATTTAAAGTCTATATGACAACCCATGCCTAAGTGAGTGGCAACAACTCCCTAAGAATCCGAGACTGCAGTAAAGCCCGCACCAGAGCAATCCACTGGGGAAGGATTGCATCCTGTGGGTAGGACTCACGCTGGAGAAGTTTGTGGATTTTCCTCGTGAGTAGGGGATCCACTGGAGCACGGGAAAAATGGTGTAAGGACTCCTTCTCCTTTAAGAGAGGAGCGGCAGTAACAACATGGGATAAAATGACCTGACACCCCCCATTCCCTGTCCCCCTGCGCCGCTGTGGGGAGGAGGTAGAGCTGGGAAGAAAAGGAAAGGTGGGCGGAGAGGTATTGTTTTTAAGATCTGGCCTTGTTTTCTTTTTATCCTTTTAAGTAACTGGTTTTGCCTGTCTTTATTCTTTTAAGTAACTGTTAATAAATTGTTTTGCTTTAAGAAAGCCGAGTCTGTTTTGCCCAGGACCATGGTTGGTGGGTGCTCCCTCTGTTCTTGTCTCGACCCTCAGTCTTTTTATTATATTTTTCTCCTCTCCACTTTACTGGAGTGAGAGAGCGACTGTGTGGAGTTTAGTTGCCGGATCGACCTAACCCATGACACCAGGGCACCGAAGGAGCTGGTGGGTGTCACAGCAGGACCCTCACCTCAATCATCTACCCAAGGTCCTGGGCACCTGAGGAGGTCCTTGCTGGCTGGCGAAGACAATTTGCAAGGAAGGCTTGTACTTCCCAGGAAATTACAGCCCTGTTTGTCTACCCTCATGACCTGGAAAAATGATGGAAATGGTCATCCTGGGCGCTGTTGAAAAGGATTTAAAGGGTGGTGCCATCACCAGGCATGGTCAGCATGGCTTGATGATGGGAAAGTCCTGGCTAACTGATCCAATACAGGATCAGCCTGCTACAATAAGGTTGCCCACCTTGCAGACAACAGAAAGCTGGTGGATGTTGTTTTTCTGGATTTTAGTAAGGTTTTCCATCCTGTGGCTCTGCAGTGGGAGGTTGCCCCAGGGACATGCTCATCACCTTGCATGTGAGGACCAAGCTGGTTTTGGGGTGATGAGGGCAGCACATGGCCAAGGATTGACCCCCACCTTTTCCATCACCCTCCAGGTAGGCGCAGTGACTAGACCAGGGGAAGGACAGGACCAGGAAAAGGAAAAAGACCAGGATACCAGGACCAGGACCAGGAAAAGAAAAAAAGGAAAAGGAAAAGGACCGGAGGCCCTTGATTTGCTCCCTAGGAAGAGGAGGAGATTTCTGTGGAGATAGGCCCCAGGTGGGTGTGACGGTCTGTGGGGACCACCCGGCCTCCCATTGGGAAAGCTGTGGCCTTGGCCCAGGTATAAAAGCCATCAGTGGGGGCTGTCCTTCCTTTTCCTTCTCCATTATGATGAAGGCTCTCAGGTGGTTCATACTCTTTCTTGCAGCTGCAGCCTGGGCACAGGATGCCCTGGGTAAGGGACTGTTGTGGGGGAGTCCTGCTGGGTCTGGCAGGGCAGGGGGAGAGGGCAGTGCCCCCCCTGGGCTGGGCTGTTGGATGTCTCTGCCCTGGGCATGGTGGCTCTTTGCTGCAGGGTGGTGAGCATGGGTGATGGCTGGCTGCCAGGGGAGGGGGACCACAGTCTCCTCTCCACCCCAGGCTGCTCCCAGCTCCAGACTTGGGGCTGAGAGGCTGGATCCAGAGCAAAGGAAACCTGGGGTGAGTCCTGCTTCTCCCCCATCTCCCTGTGGGGACCCTCCAGGAGCATCACAGCCACATTGGTACCCTGGGGTGACAGCACAAAACTGCTCAGCCCCTGGGACTGCCTCCTTCCCTGTCCTCCCTAAGGCTGTAAATGCTGAAATGGGAGAACTCGAGGGGACATCTATGCTGGGGGCAGCCTGGGGACCTCAGCAAATTGGCTTATCCCTCCCTCTCCTTGTCCTGCTGACGTCTTGGTGACATGTGGCCACACCGGGCCGTGCCGGCTGGCCTCCTGGGAAGCCATGTGGCTGATGGGGAGCTGATGCTGGGATCTGGCTGTGGGGTTACTGCTGCCAATGTGAACGTGTACCAGCTGAAGCACCCACTTGTGGGCTGCAGGACCACCCTGGAGGTGAGGAGCTGGGGTGACTGTGCGTTTCTGATGGAAGTGCTGCGGCAGCATGGTCCTCCTCGGGGCTGGTGTAGAGTGGAAGGGAGGGGGCCATGTCCCACAGGGAAGGGATAACATCAGGGCATCCTTGGCTGTGGTTGGGAAGGAAACCATGCGGGATGGGCAAGGTGGGTCTTCCACAACCACCCATCTCCCTGGGATGCCTGTGCCATCGTTGTCACCACACCTATGTGTTGGATCAGCTCCGGGGCTGGACCCCTGTGTCCTGCTGTTCCTCTGGCATGGTCCCCAGGGAGAGGGCAGCACCCACTGGGACAACCACCCTTTGTGCGAGGGTGGGAGCACCAGTTAAAGCAAGTGGGGCCATTACCAATGACCTGAAACCAGGCTCCCACCGTGTACCGAGGAGCTTTCTTAGCTCCTGGGTGTTCAGCACCATTCCCGAGGTGCTGGGGACAGGGAGGGGACACCTGCTCTGAGCTGGGTGACACCTTCAGCCCTGTGTCTGCTCATTCCCCCAGCTCCTCCCGGACAGCATCCGCTACAGCAACGTCCTCCGCTACCGCCCCTCGACCAGGGGGACAGTGGCTCAGACCCGTCTCCCTCCCTGTGAGCTGTTCCTACCCCCGGTAAGCAGGGAGCCCTGTGTGCCCACACTCCCAGGGTGTGATCCATGATGAGACCCCCTGGTCCTGGGCAGGGAGGGTGCAGGGGGGATGGGAGGGGTGCGGTGTGCAGGCAGGAGTGCCCTGCCGGCTCCCGGCAGCCTGTCACCCAGCTCAGGGATGCTCTGTGGTGCAGGATGGGTAGTGTTTCGTCCGGAGCTATCCAGCCCACCTGGGTCCCTTTCAGCTCCACCGTCGCTCACCGGAGACGCTTGCGCTTCGCCCTGGATGTATATGACAGTGAGTGGGGGAACTCCAGACCCCCTGTGTTTGTGTGTGGCAGGGATGAGACCCCCCCCGCCCCCGCCTGGCCAGGGCCCTGGGGCAATGCTCGGGGCAGCCACAGCCATGTGCCTTCCAGGTACCTGGTCCTCCCGCCTGCTCCAGCCCACTTATTCCCTGGGGGAGCTGATCAACATCGAGGCGTCGGTGAGCACTGACCCCCACCTGCCTTTGAGGGTCTTTGTGGACGAGTGTGTGGCCAGCCCGAGCGTGGTGGCGCAGCTGAAATATGAGGTCATTGCTGACAACGGGTGAGCACCGGAGCTGGGTGCAAGTTGGTGGCTGCTGCCCCAAATTCCTGCTTTTCCCTCCTCGCTGGGACCCTGTGGGCAATGGCAGAGCCTGACTGGTCCCAAGGGGGTGATAGTGCCCGTCTCACCCCATCTCCCATCCCAACAGGTGCCTACTGGATGGGCAGCTTGGTCGTTCTCGCTTCCTCCCCCAGCGTGGAGACGGCTTCCTCCGCTTCCAGCTGGACACTTTCCTCTTCCCGAACACCTCTGGCAGCCAGGTCTGTGCCAGCGGGGTGTGGGGGTGTGTGGTTACACCCACCCACCCGTGCTGGTGGTGATGGATGGAGAGCCATGGGGTGGCTCAGGTGGTGTGGTAATAGGATGCTTGTCCCTGCAGATCTACCTCCGCTGTCACCTGAAGGCTGTGGCACAGGGGGCTGGTGGCACCTCCGCCAAAGCCTGTTCCTACGACCATGTGGCAGCCACCTGGCGCTCCCCAGATGGGGCTGATTGTTCATGTTGTGGCTCTCCAGCCGGCTGTGGGGGCCGGCGGCAGCGCCGGATGGCTGACAGCGGGGGTAAGAGAAGCCCTTCAGTGGGATCCATGAGCCTTACGGGGGATGTCTTTGCCCAGTGGTGCCTGATGGGCTTCTCTTTGCAGGGCTCCTGGGTGAAGCCAGCGTCCGCCTTGGTCCCCTGAGGCTGCTCTCAGCTCTGCCCAGCTTGTCCCCGCTCCCCGTGGCACTGGAGCCCACCACGGCACCGCCTCGCCACCCATCAGTCCCTGTAGTGCGGGGGGAGAAGA